ACTAGATTACTTCACCACATGAGAGATTTTAAATTTCTCGGTCACGAGCAAAAAGGCAGGTTGAATTTCCTCTTAATGAAAAGGTGATGAAAATGCCATGTTTCACGCATTTCGAGTTTTCATAACTGGTTAGACTCCTCGTTCTGACCTGAAGCGCACGTCACGGGAGAGTGGAAAAAAGCCGTCCTTTCTCTTTTTGCCATTCCTAGCGAGAATCTTGTAAAGGTTTTGCGCGTGCGCAAGAAAAAGAGGTAAGAGGAGGCTATAAAGGAGGCTTTAGCAATGGTATTTTTGTTAAGCTGTCGTGTTCTTGATCCCTGAATAGGCCACTTGCACTAAGAAGTCATGTGACCAATGCTTCCTTTAAACAATGAGTTGGAATCTTGCTGATGCCAAAAATTGATAGAGCACATAAAAAGTATCTTACACCCGAAAGTTCAGAGGAAACGCATTTAAGGGAGATATATTATGGCAATTTGATTTTTCAACAAAGTAGTAGGATTTATATTGGCCGTCATGTTGGAGGGCATACTCTTGCCCTCCAACATGGCGGCCAAAACTACTCTCTGCTTACAATATGGCTTATATCTTATTAAACGTTTGATAGTTCCGCTCAGATATGCTGTAAACGTTACCACATCATCTTTTCAACATTTTCCTTGAAGTTTAAGAGCAAAATTTGTTTGTTTTCAGAAAGAGGTAATTCATAATTTCAAAAATCACATTTTTGTCACTTGACCAATTAACGAACTTACTCATTTTAAGAAAATGGTGCGGGTTTGAAAACCAAATCACTATTACTTTGTTAAGATATGACCCACAAATCGTTTTTCGAAAGCAAACTCATATAACTTTCATTTTCATAAAAACGATGTCATTTGACCTCCTAGTGCAAATGGCCTCGCCCACATTCCAAGAACGAGAAAAGGGGATGGTTCTCTCCCCATTCTCCCACTCAACAGGGCAGAGAAGCCTGGGAAAGAGGCTACAACTGACAAGATATTGAAACGCCTCGCAGCAGAAACAAGGCCATATAAAATTTATTGTTAATGCAAGCAATAAACGAATAATAATGACAATGGAACCTGGTCCTAAAGGTCCAATAAAATCAGAGGCTTCAAAAAGAGGTGCGAGGCTCCTGAAAATATGTAAGGCCTGAAAGGGGAAAAACAATGTGTATTGTGACATTTGAGTACCTGGCTTTGTTTTAAAATATCTTTAATTCCTTTTATATGTCGTGGTTGAAAATTTTGTTGCTTGGTTCCATTTAGCTATTCTTTGCATGTAGCTTATAGTGCACTTTGATTACACACAGAAAAAAAAAGAAAATCCAATTGAAGAAAAGATCCCAACGTGATCTTGTCGTTTAACAGTGGCGAAAGAACTGGTTCCTCTTTTTTAATCAGGGGCGTAGGAAAAACAACGATTTGCGAGTGAAGCACCAAGCATGGACTAACTAGTGAAATGAAGAGAAGGCTTTTCCCTGTCTGTGTCATCAATTTCTTAATCGGTGCAATAGCCGAGTAAATCACTCTAAATTATTTATTAAGATGCTAATTCAAGAGGGTGGTAAAATAGTCACCGACAAATAAAATTGGCACAAAGCCCTCCCTTTTGTGCTTATTAATATCCGATTTAATGTCCTAGGAACAAAATTATAGAAACGAAGAAGGACACTAATTTCCGATTTATTTCGTTCGTTTTTCTTTTGTAGACACGAGCGTCAAGAAACTACTGATTGAAGGCCGTAGCGGTCGTTCCTTATCCAGCCGAAATGCCATCTCTCCTGAAATGCAAAAAGAAATAGCGAACACCATAACATACGCTATCAAGGCTTTCTGTGTTTCGGACGGTAATTCGAAAATGTATCTGAAAGGAGAACCTGGCACAGTTGGTGCACAGGGTATCAAGGGAGATACTGGAACCAAAGGACTGAAAGGAGACCCTGGGCTTCCTGGTCAGCGGGGACCACAGGGTTCCACGGGAGTCAAAGGCGAGAAGGGAGATCAATGTAAGGGAAGTGAAATTCAATGATGAGTGAAGAGCCTGTTGAGGAACGTGGCGCAGAAGGAATGAACCAAGAGATTAGTGCCCCTGGGATTTTTGTGACACCCGCTGTGCAGACAGTTTCAGAGAACAAGACGGCAAGATTCACGTGTTATAGCCGAGGATACAACTCAGCCGTGGTGAAGTGGAGAAGACTTGGGAAACTACTTCCCAAAGACAGAACGATTCTTGGAGAGACAGGGGTGCTGAAGATTAGGCGAGTCACATTCATGGACAGTGGTTTGTACATGTGCACTATAAACAGTCCATCTGGCCTAGCTCAGGCAACCGTTATGCTTAGAGTTCAAGGTAAATATGTACTGAGACATTTATTCATTCATCCAGTTGTTCAAAAGGTGGATAGTGTTATCCACTGAATAAATCTTTATCTAATGTATCACCCAGTAGGTTTCCTCAACACTTCTCTTGATGATATGACGTGGATAATGCTTTTCCAACTTCTGAGCAAATAGTTTCAGATTACTAGTGTTAATTATTTTTCCATTTGTACTTACGGAATATAGAATACGTTTCTCAAATTTACGACGTTAAATCACCTCATATAACTATTAATACTTGTGACAACATTTTTGTTGTATTCTTGAACAGTATCAATTTTTTTCTGGGATAATAGAATTGAAAATTTGTACTTCCTCTTATAAACAGTGTCAGTAGTTGCTCACACTGCCGTCGATGGAGAGTAAAATTGTTTTTTGAGGAAAAACTGAGTAGCACTGTTTTTACCTCATTCTAGCTTCTCCTCGTGTTTACGTTGATTCCGGTCCAACGTTCGTTATCAGAGGTGAAGATGCAGTTCTGCCAAGCTGTCACGTGATAGGGTATCCTCCACCGGTAGTCACATGGGCCAAAGTGCTTGGAAAATTACCGCGAGGGCGAAATCTGCTTAAAGGACGGAGTGTGACGATTTTACGTGCAGAGAGAGAGGATGCTGGCAGCTACATCTGCAAAGCAACTAGTTCAGGAGGATCATCGCGGGCGGTTACTCAGCTAGTTGTAACCGTAGTACCCAGGTTCACTGTAACGCCGATGGCCGTGATTGAGAAGTTTGCAGGAACTTCGGTGAGAACATGTTTTGCGTCGCTGAAAATACGTAACTAATATCAGTATGTGCCGAACGTCAGGCAAAATATCGATTGGTGATTGTCTAACAGCTTTTAAATTTGGACAAATAAAACTTATCAAAAACAGATTAAAAAAACAAGGCGAAAATGAAAACGTCGAAGATGCTAAAATCAGAAAAAATAACATCCTTGAAAGGCAATAAACACCATATAAAAATGTAAAAACGGCTTATTTCTGACCATTTTTTAATCCTTTTACGCAGGTGCAAAATTTGATAAGAGCTGCTTCTCGTTCGGCGCACGGAGTCATCCTGGCTCCGATTGTTCAAACATTGGATAGTGCTATCCACTGGATAAATCACTATCTTGTGAATAAGTATTAGGGAAACCAGCTGCATTATCCACTGGAGAGAGATTTATCCGGTGAATAGCGTTATCCTCCTTTTAAACAACTGGGGCCAGTTCTATATAAATGAACATTTGAAGGGCTTAAAGGAATCTATTTGTTATCAGGCTCCGTTCCGAAGTTCGAGATGTTAACCGCTCGGCCGTCACGCCTCCACTCGTTATCTCTACATGCTGGGGATTTTTTTTCACGCGACGTTTTAGCTAAAATAAAGGCTAAAAAGTTATCGAGGGAAAACCTGAATTAAGCTCCCCTCTTCAAATACACCCCCAGCCCTCTCACTGCAGCTTATTCTTCAAAAAACACTTTTTACCTTTTTACTTTCATGCACAAAGGTTACTGTTAACTGTTCTGCCACTGGTGATCCAGATGCCGTTATTACATGGGAACCTATTTGCACAGGGAACCTTCCAAGTGAGAGATTGAACATTACAGAACACAGCGTGACCATTTGGGCCTTACAGCCAGACGATCAGGGCAAATACGCATGTGTAGCAACCAGTGCACTTTTCCGCGCGCGGGCAGAGTTTAATCTCCTTGTAAAGACAGGTAAATTATTTTTTTTTTGTTAAAACTTGAAATTTAAGGAAGGAAAGTAAATGATGAAATCCTCATATTAAAACTTGTAGCATTTAATAATTATTTTTTCGTTTTTCTCATTCTCTTTTAGCACGTGATTGTTCCGTTTTGTATTCATCAGGCGTGCGTACTAGCGGTGTGTACATGATAAATCCAGATGGAAATTATTCGTTCCCAGTCCTCTGTGACATGCTCACTGACGGCGGTGGATGGACGGTATTTCAGAGGAGACTGGACGGCAGTACTAATTTCTTCCGTGACTGGGACACCTATAAACACGGTTTTGGAGATCTCAACAAAGAGTTCTGGCTCGGTAACGACAAAATTAGTCGGTTAACGCAAGCCATGGATGTAGTTCTTCGTGTGGATTTGACCGACTGGGACGAAACAACGGCCTTCGCCAAATATGGAAATTTCCGTGTCGAAAACGAGTCCGTAAAATACAAACTTACTGTAGGTTCTTATACCGGAACTGCTGGAGATTCATTGTCATATCACAGCGCCTCCTCATTTACAACTATGGACAAAGACAGTGATAGCAACAGAGGGGGAAATTGTGCAATTAAGAGCGTGGGTGCATGGTGGTATAACAGCTGTCATGACTCTAATTTAAACGGACAATACATGAGCACTGGTAAGCAGGGCTCAAAAGGAATGGTCTGGTACTACTGGAAAAACAACCTCCAAGCACTGAAAACTTCACAGATGATGCTGCGACCCAAATCCTTTGAGTGACATGATGTAAAAGTGGACGTGAAACTGTTTCTCTTTCAGACTCAAGCCTCTTTAATAAGGACACCAAAGTAGGGTAATCGGCCCCTGACCAAACTGATAAAGCTAAGTGCCCGCTTTTAAGAGCGAACAGGGAACCTTCCAAGTGAGAGATTGAACATTACAGAACACAGCGTGACCATTTGGGCCTTACAGCCAGACGATCAGGGCAAATACGCATGTGTAGCAACCAGTGCACTTTTCCTCGCGCGGGCAGAGTTTAATCTCCTTGTAAAGACAGGTAAATTAATTTTTTTTGTTAAAACTTGAAATTTAAGGAAGGAAAATAAATGATGAAATCCTCATAGTAAAACTTGTAGCATTTAATAATTATTTTTTCGTTTTTCTCATACTCTTTTAGCACGTGATTGTTCCGTTTTGTATTCATCAGGCGTGCGTACTAGCGGTGTGTACATGATAAATCCAGATGGAAATTGTTCGTTCCCAGTTCTCTGTGACATGCTCACTGACGGCGGTGGATGGACGGTATTTCAGAGGAGACTGGACGGCAGTACTAATTTCTTCCGTGACTGGGACACCTATAAACACGGTTTTGGAGATCTCAACAAAGCGTTCTGGCTCGGTAACGACAAAATTAGCCGGTTAACGCAAGCCATTGATGTAGTTCTTCGTGTGGATTTGACCGACTGGGACGAAACAGGGGCCTTCGCCAAATATGGAAATTTCCGTGTCGAAAACGAGTCCGCAAAATACAAACTTACTGTAGATTCTTATACCGGAACTGCTGGAGATTCATTGTCATATCACAGCGCCTCGTCATTTACAACTATGGACAAAGACAATGATAGCAACAGAGGGGGAAATTGTGCAATTAAGAGCGTGGGTGCATGGTGGTATAACAGCTGTCATGACTCTAATTTAAACGGACAATACATGAGCACTGGTAAGCAGGGTTCAAAAGGAATGGTCTGGTACTACTGGAAAAACAACCTCCAGGCACTGAAAACTTCACAGATGATGATGCGACCCAAATCCTTTGAGTGACATGAAGTAAAGGTGGACGTGAAACTGTTTCTCTTTCAGACTCAAGCCTCTTTAATAAGGACACCAAAGTAGGGTAATCGGCCCCTGACCAAACTGATAAAGCTAAGTGCCCGCTTTTAAGAGCGATCCTTATTATAGGGGGATGATCGTTTAATGAAGGTGTCCGCAATGAGCGACACTTCAGGGGGTTTTCAAGAATTGCCAGCGTTAGTGTTTTATATCATCGATCTCCTCTTTACCTTTGATGATAATCGTTGGTTTTTAGTCTTCTGATTATCGCGGCCTTCGGTTGACCTTATTCTGGACAACTCCGGACAACTTCATGGATAAGGATGCTTGGAATATATTCCGGAATTGGAGCAGTACTGAGGCTAATCGAAGGGGTATTCTGGATTGTTTTATTTAGATTAAAGATGCAGAGCTTCGCATCATTTTATGGTTTTAGGGTGAACCTGCTCCCCACAAAAGTTTCAAACTTTGAGTGCAATGTTGGATCTTAATATGCTGAGTGAGATTCCATGATGAAAAATGGGAGTCGTCGATCTCGTTTGAGTCCAGAGAAATTGAAAATATGAACTTGTTAAAGCTTGTTAACTAATGACTGATCGAGTATTTGTTTGATAACATTATTTCAACATCCACTGAAAAAGGGTAGCAGTATTGATCCATTTTAAAAGAATTGCTGTTAACTGTCCAGTGCATCGAAATGACTTGTCTGTCCTTTTTTCATTCTCAATTGATCGGCATGATCAATAGTTTAATTCTTTTTTCTGACGGCGGCTTAATTTAGAGGCAAATGCTATCCCTTTCGTGGCGTTAAAATATGAATTCTGACTGGGCTGAACGCTCAGCTGTTACGACGGCACGAGGTTATAGTTTAATTTTATGCAACTGGTTTACTAGCCAGTTACCAGTTACTAAACGTAGTGGTGGAATGCCGTTTTTTAATAAAAAGACCACCGTCAATGGGCCATATATAATCTCATTGTTTTAACGAGGTAGCGTAACTTTTTGATATGAAGCCTTTCTGAACTTAAATGATGACAAATATGACCATTAATTGGTTTGATATATCACATATCACTTGAATTCTTTTTATATTTAAAAAAAAAATCAATTAAAGTGTCCAATGTGTGTCAGGTTTTGATAACTTTACTCAGTTATTCTTACAGCGCTCGACTGGTTGTAAAAATGGGGTGGTCGTATCAACGATGACAGAGAATATATATTTTTATTAACTTCATAATTAACGATTCCATAAACAGCTGTACAATATACCAATTATCAACAGTAGTGAGCTGAGATCAGGAAATTAGGGCGTGATTAGACTTTGCTCGGGAAATACAACCAACGGGTCCGCAAATAACGAGGTGGTTGCGTGGCGGGGTTTCTCTGTACAGCAAAAAGTCAAAAATATAACGAAAGACTTAAGATGGAATCCATCTGGAAATTGAATAATTTTAATTTTCAGTGGACAAAAACCTTTTACAAGAATAATTTAAACAATATTGCATTCTTTTTTACATATTTGAAGGTCTAAAGATGCTCCTTTAGTTATCTGTAATAACACCAAAGAAAATTTCTCATGGGAGTCCGAGGAAATGACGGTCAAATTTCACAAGAATTGTGAAAACACAGGGAAAATTCCCGGGGAAAAATTCTGAAAATTTCATGTGTAAGATATGCAATTTTGTGAAATTTGACATTCATTTTCTCGGGCTCCCATAAGAAATTTTCTTGATGTTATAACAGATGACAAATTACATCTTTAGTCCTTGAAAAATGCATAAAAGAATGCAATATGCTTCAAACTATTCTGGTACAAGGTTTTTGTCCACTGAGAATTAAAATTACTCAATTTCTTGGCGGATACCGTCTTAATATCTAAGTTAAGCTAATTTATACAACAGATTAAATTGAAGTTAGCATAATAGCCAATCAAATTGCAGAAATTTTTCATGTAGTAGTATAAATGTGGTAAACCATAGATCTGCTTTCACGAGTAATCAGGGATGAACTAAACCCCAGTGGGGGGAGTACTTCCTTATAAGACTGGATTGACTGTAATGGGGGTCGCATTTTCAATAGAATTACCAGAATGGGGTCGCACATTTTCGGATATTTGGCGTACGAAAGTTCTTCATTTTTACGGTTAGCAAACGTACCAGAATGTTTGTAGTGTAGATGAAAAGTAAAGCGTTCTTCATTCATTTTAGGATAACATATTTAAAGTATTGATAAGGTAGATACATAAATAGAAAGTGACTAAGTTGGGATCTCAAAAATTACATTTGCCCAAAAGTGACTAAGATGGAGTCTATAATTGGCCACAGAATAGACTATAATGGGGTAGGGGCTCTGAGAGGCCAGCGGTACATACCCAGCAAAAATTAACCCAGATACCAAACAAAGTTCTTAGGCTTAGGCCAAACGTCGAACTTCGTTTGGTTCGTCATTCCTCGCTAACGTCAAGTTCCTTAACGAAATAATTAACAATTATTCCACTATTGCGCGTTGGATATGAGAAGGTGGTGGCCAACGAGGCGCGTAGCGCCGAGTTGGCTATAATCATCTCATATCCAACAAGCGCGAGCGGAATAATTGTTTTATTAACAACACCCACAAATTATCGAGAATTCTTCCCGACTTCATTTGTAAAAACAACCGTTTCTTAGCTTGTTTTTAATTTTGAGCAGACGCGCAGACGCGTACAGTTACCATATTTGGAGAGCACGGTATAATGGCTCATATACCATGATGGCTAACACACGTTATTGGCAATACTAAACCAATGAACTAGACGGTTGTGGCACAGCCTCTTTAACGGAAACGCCCGAGTGTTCATTTAGATCCTGCGGGTTTCAATTTCATTTCACTAGCCATGAGTGGGCCCCAATTCCAGCTATAGTGACCTTCACCATAATTGGAATTCAGGTTTGACCTAAAACAGTTTTTGTACCACCATGCTCCCTGGCTTTTAACAGCACAGTTATGACCAGATTCGTCATTATCTCGATCCTTTGTAGTGAAAGCCATGCCCCTATGTTGAGTCAGTTTATCCGTAGATGTACCAGAGTAAAACCAAACAAGCAGTGTGTAGTTAGATGCCTCGTTAGCGACTGTAAAAGTGCTGTATTTCGCGTACTTGTTACCACTTTTTTTTTGTCTTAATTTCCACCCGCAGCTGACTGGGAATCTGTGTCAGTTGATGAATCTTCTCGTTCCCAAGCCAAAACTCCCCTCTAATGTCACCAAAGCCGTTTTTGTACTCTTCCCACCCCCTGTAAAAGTCCCAAGCCCCATTGAAGCGCTTGTGAAATACTGTCCATCCTCCGCCATCAGTCTTCATGTCACAGAACACTTCGAAACTGGCTTTGTTCGTTGGGTTGACAGTATACACACCACTTTCTTTAATTCCAGCAGAAAACAGTTCTTGACAATCTCGAGCTACAGACATGATCAATAAAATATATCCGTTAATCAATCCGTCAACAAAATAACGAATGATATGAAACTAGAAAGAATATGGCGTGCGCTAACGGATCCCTCCTGTAAGCAGAGTGCTAGTCATGGCACAGCGACAGGCAAACACTGTACTGATTTTCCACTCCCTTAAACGGACACCTCTCCAAAGAAGATGATTTTATAGTCGCCGGTGTCTGCTTGCGGGAGGTTCGATTGCTTTATGGCGGTCCAGAAGATTCATCGGGTAACAAATGAGTTACGGGTATCTGAAATTGTGTACTGCCATGAATATAATCGAAGTTGAGTTAATCTTAGCTGGCAGGAGGACGGCCTTGCCTATTTAACTGGTACGACATGCAAGTAGTGCAACTGGCAGTAAATTTGTATTTAATGAGGGACACTTAAAATTGATTAGATTTGTAGTACAGTCAAACTCCTTGAATACGGACATTGAGGGGCCATGGAAAGTGTCCGTATTAAGCGGGTTGAATTTAGAGAAAATGTAAGGGTTTCTTTTCCCAAGGACAAAGGACTGGAAACGGTTCATAATAATGAGGTGTCCGTACTAAGCGGGTGTCCGTAAAGAGGAATTTGACTGTAACTACGTAATTGCAACTCGACTCAGACAGTTACTTAGCTTTCACTGAGTTCAATCGAAAACCCCAAAACTAGCAGGCAATGTGAAACACTTCTTACCAGTTTTAACAATAAGTTGTACTTCGGTCTCCACCTGAAGCAACCCACTCCGAGCAGAGCAGATGTAAATGCCACTGTCTTCATCCTTCAAGCTGCGTATCTTTAGCTGTCCGTCCTTCACCCGCGTGCGTCCCCTTGGCAACTCTCCATTGCATCGTGACCACGTGATGTTCGGTACGGACTGTCCATCTGCAGAGCAGTTCAGCGTAACTGACTGTCCATGATAACGCTCTCTTTTCTTTGGTGGCTTGACGGTGAACTGCGGCATCACATTAACTATTAAACTTGTCATAGCGTGCGAAGTGCCCATGGTATTTCTAGCGGTGCAGATGTATGTTCCTCCGTCCTTCTTCTCTGCTTTCTTTATTGTTAAGGTTTGACCATCTACAGCGATTCTTCCAGTTGGAAGTTGATCAAAAAGCTTTGTCCAGGATATAACCGCAGGAGGATATCCGATAACTTGGCATTTAGGGAGACTGATATCTTTTCCGCTTTCAGCGTAGATTGGCCCTGGAGCGAGTGAAATTGCTGGTAGAGCTGCAAATGATCAGTTTCAGTTTCAGTTTCGTGAAATTATGTTTGTGTTTTTTCGTGTTGTGACTTTATCTCTGTTCTCCTCACTTCTGCCCTTCTAACGTAGAAAGAAGCGCCGGTACACTGAGCGGTTTGTTAGATAAAAAATGGTCCTATTTTTTTTTTTTCATTTGAGTTAATAAGGTAATGAGCAAAAAAAGAACGGCATGCATTAAAAAACAACACGCTTCAAGTGCAAGCCCTTCGTAGGAGTGTATCAAAGGACTCTCAGTGCAAAACAAGAATAAATTAGCAGTTATAAGCAGTATTAACCACGTCCGCAAGATAATAATTTGGTCCTGACTTTTGATAATAACTCGACGCATAAAGGATGCAGCTTATATCGCGATCAGGTGGATTTAGAAAGGTTAGTATTTATCCTGAAACTGAGACTGTAATATTAACTAGATCACAGATATTCTCTGAATTTCTTTTCAAAGGATCTTGCGGACATCGAAAAAAGAATATGAAACTAAAAAAGAGAACTTTAGAACTACGTACATACTTACTATCACCCACTGACTTCCTAATAAAAATTGCTATGTTGTCGCAGGTGGCAATCCGATAAGTTATTGTCATGAAAACGCGGAATCTTTGAATGTTTCCAATGCAATCCGACTAGATTGCCCATGCTGTTAAACTGGTGCACAGCATGACTTTAAAACATATTTTCATGGTTTATTATTTTTTTACCTTTCACATTAAGTGTGACAGCAGCTTGTTCGGTCCCCTGGTGAGTGCGAATCGTGCAGACGTACACGCCATTGTCACTGATGACCACATTCTTGATAAACAGTCTTCCTTTGATGACGGAATGTCTTCCGACGGGGAGAGATCCATCCTTTTTAGACCATGAGATGGTCGCGTAAACGTTTTTATCTGGTGCACACTGAAATGTAGCTGACTCGTTTAAGAAGGCAGTCCTAAAGGTTGGCTGAACTAATATCACAGGGGCTTTAATGACATCATCTGATTGGTTCTTAACTGGCTGTAGATAAGTTGGAGTTAACGAACTTGCTACTCCGGGATCCCCCTTATCTCCTTTCATTCCAGCGGGCCCTTGAGGCCCGGGAGGTCCTGGAGGACCCGGAGGTCCCTGAGGTCCCAACTTTCCCGGAGATCCTTCAGTTCCTGATTTTCCCTGAGGGCCTTGAGGTCCTGCAGGTCCTCGGGATCCCTGTGGTCCTTGAGATCCCGGGGGTCCTTGAGGTCCCCGAGATCCCTTCACACATATCTGGCGACCTTTCTTGGTGCAGACTTTACGTGTTGCAGAGTTGACAGCTTTAGTGATTTGTTTTCTTATCGCTGGAGTTAGAGAACTGTTACTTTTGCTTGTGGCCTTGATGGCTCGAGCGCTTCGGCTTATTTTTACAGCTGAAGGCAGGTTGGAGTCGATGTTCATGGAGTGGATATCTGTAAGAAAACAGTCATACAGACTCAATAGTCTCATCGCGTAATAAATGCATGGCTTCCATGTAATATTGTTAAAATTTTTTACACATTTTTAGCTTTATTCATTGTTCGTTTGGTTGGTTTGCTTGTGTAAAATTGGATTGATACACCTTGCCTTGCGTGAATAGTGACTTAAGAACTTCCGTTTTTTGCCCTCCCCCCAGAATTCATTTTGCAGATTCATGGTATACCTACCATACAGAAGACAATACACCTTACCTTCCCTTCTATTGTCCTAAGCTGAAATTCCCTAATAAGGTTAAAAATCATCACCTATTTCTCGCAGAATAAAAAAAGCCAAACGCTTATTGCAAGGTTAGACTGTTGTATGTAAGGCTATAGTACAAAAAAGGTGTCGCATCCTGACGGATATAGTAAGCAAAATGTAATCCTTTTGGGCTTCATTAGCGTTGTGTTCTCAGAATTTTAGTTTCTATATTTTTTGGATTAAAATAAATTGCCTGCAAATTGAATAATCTTTTTTTTAACCAAGAGAGCCTTAGCTGATACTAGTACCGAATTTTGACAAGTGAGCATTTCTCAACCAGAAACCGAAAAAACAAACCTGCCATGAATAACAGAAGACTCTTGATAGCAGCTGTATTTCATTTTGTACATCCAGTGGAAAAAGACAGTTAAAAACATCACTGACAAGTTGACACAAAACTCTGTGAGCTTCAGCGCAAGCTGTCAAAGTAAACAACTTTCAAGATGCTGCATAAATTTCCCGCATGAACTCACCTGTCAAATTTTGACCAATCAGAGCATAAAAATTGGACGCAGAGCGTGACCAACGCGTGTCCATGGTAAGAAAAGGTCTTCCCCGCCTGTAGGTCACGCAAAAGCCTGGAAATTCAATCGTCCTCTCTTGCAAAACGAAGAACTCTTTCGAACCAAAAATTTGTTTATGAAAAGGTGTTTAGGTACTGTAATAGCTCGTGAAAGTAGAAACTCAGAAGAATCGATAGTTTCTTAGTTTGATTTTTGGTGACGTCGCGTGCAACCCAAGAATAAACAACACGAAGTTTATAAGCTTCACATACTTTACATTGCAATTATTTACTGAAGTGGAGGTGGCTAGTGGTGGGAAATTGGCCGAGCCGTGAAGTATATACTAAAACAGTGAGATAAAGATGATTTTTAACTTATTTATTGCTGCCAACGATTACAATTTTGGGGCGTAAATGACCTTGCGGCCGTCACGTTTCCTTACCGACAAATAAAACTTTTTATGTTTTTTTTTAGCTCTTACGGTGATATTTCTTCAAAAGGAGTCGCAAATTCTTTCTGTATTTGAAACTTTTCTGCAAAAAATCCAGCTAAGATTATTTATGAACATGTCAGCTAAATTAATAACCGCAAGACTTAATTTGAATTTGTAAACAAAAAGCTTTTTTCGCCGGTTTCATTGATAAATATTCAGGTTAAATAGACAAAGCTTTAATACCTGTAAAAACTACGAAACGGAATTTCGTCGCCTTGTTCGTGTTGTCGGAAACAGGTTCTTCGTTTACGGAGAAATATTTTCGATTGTCACGGTAGCAAACCGGGAAACTGTTTTCCTCATACCTTTCGCGAGTTTGGCGTCATTCGTTGGACTATCAAAAAATCATTGCGACGGAGTTAAGTGTAACTGATTGAAAATGCATGCTTCAGTATCGAACTGTCTGCATTAGTCCTTAGTTACTGGCTTTTTGCCGCCATAACTAACTTTTCTGTCCCGTTCCTCAGATGCCCTTGTCGAAGTCATAAACCTTTTGTCCAAAGAATTACCAAATGGTGCCTCCACCGCTCTCTTGTCCATAGTTCTTTTTTTAAATTGGAAAATAGTTTCCAGACTGTCCCACCGTCGGCTTTGACTCTCGCTGCCACCAGCAAACCCTCTTAGCATCAGACATAATTAATCGATAACATCAATAAAATCGATGAGTAATTGATAGGTAATCGATAGATGATCAGTTGATTAGTCATTGATTATTACCGAGTGGAACGATAGGTGTTGGCACTCCCCCAACAGGACTTCGTAATTGCGCAACGCCTTAGATCCCGCAAGAGCTTTTCTTTGTTTTTGCTTTGTTAAAAAAGAAACGGCCTATATTAATGAAGTAACAAAAGTTAATGTTAAATGGTCCACGTCCCCTTCTAATCATGCATATCAGAGGGTCTCAATGGGGTGGTGGCTTTTAACAGCTGCTGAAGGCCTAAATGTAATAAAGTCCTAAATGTAATAACATTTTGTCCTAAATGTAATAAAGTCCTAAATGTAATAACAATTTGCCCTAAATGTAATAAACTCTTAAGCTGCCAATTACAGTAATTACTCGAATAAGCCCCGCCCTCAAATAAGCGCCGCATTTGGGGCGTTGGGAGTTAATTAGCGCCGCGGCGCTTATTCGAGTAAATAAGGTACTAAGCGGTATTGCTATGGTATTAAGCTCCGCTCTCAAATAAGCGCCGCATTTTTGCAGAAAAAAGTTAATAAGCGCCGCGGCGCTAATTCGCGTAAATTCTGTACATTTCCTTATGCACTGTGAAACTTAAAAACTATGTAATTATTAAGTCAGGAGCCTGTTGCGAATAAGCATTCCAACATCAAAAACAATTCCGTTGATTCCTTTATAGCAAGGCTTCTTATTTCAGAAGTTCTCTTCAATTCTTCTTCTATTTCCTCTTCTGCCTTGTCACTGTTGTCATCTTTTTTCAACAGCAACAAACGCAAACGAAGGTAGGGCTTCCTTAAAAACTTATGTAACGACACAAGATCAACATCATTTAAGCAATATACCACACTTTCTATGGGTTTACCGGCGTGATAACCCACGCGGGATGTTGGGAGAACACGAGAAAAGCTTGTAAATCACGAGCCGAAAGGCGAGTGATTTACAAGCTTTTCGAGTGTTATCCCAACATCCCAAGTGGGTTATCACGCCGGTAAACCCATAGAAAGTGTGGTATATTGCTTTTATAAAATAACTTTTAGTAGAATAGAGTCGTTTAGGTTAAAAAATATGGTTTTAGTACCGTGATCAAGTCACGTCTTCTCCCTAAAGTCATCATAAGCCAATCATGACTCACGATTTAATAGCGTTGAACTTTCTCAAAACTCAGTTCAGTCAAACAACAAACAGCAGCACTTTAAGACACGAGTTTTTGCACTCATTACATGATAACTTATGAAAGTTGTTTTACAGGAAAAGTCAACGCATATTCATGCGAACGTACAATGAAAGAATACGTTCATGGTTTGTT